ATAGACGAATTAGGCCGAGTCTCGAAGCACCAGATGTGTCTCTTGAACGCATTTCCTGTCCGATTTTAACGTCTTTCACCCCGTGCTATATTAATACAGACATGAACTTCGCTCAGTGACGAATTTACCGGCGAATAGTGGGCTTCTAGAACTTGGCATGAGGAACAGGCTGTCAAAGAAATTCCCTTACCAAAAATTCTGTATAGTTGCGGGTTTGGTTATTCAAGTGGGTCACGTGGTATGGATGACCTCCATATCTTAATGCATAATGCATTTCGTCGTATGTATAAATGGTAAAAGATACAGTTGTCCTAGTAGCACTACGTCATGAAGACGTATTGGGGAGTGGATGTATAGACCCACGTTTTCTTCACATCTACACTAGTTGGGGCTGAGTGGTCAGCTTCACGCCCCGGCCGCTTTACCCTCGAGGAAGAAAGCCCCCGGTACCCATTGGATTGGAGGTTGGGACGACATGGAGAAGTGAAAATTCTTGACCCTACTGGGACTCGAAGTCCTACCTGTCGGTTATCCAGCCAGTAACGAGTCACTATACCGACTGCGCCATTCCGGTTTTACTGTATGTGCAAAGCGGGATAAATGAATGTTTTACGTGTGAGGGAATATTTATTTAGTAAGGGACAGAGTGTGACTGTGGTGAAAAATTCAAGTTAAATTACCACATACTTAGTGAACGATCTGAGATGTATATTCTCACGTATATGGGTGACACTCGACGGGGTTTTGGATTTATTGACCACTTTAATACAAAGCTCGTGATTTCACTTCTCCACACTTTACAGATCACCAGACCACACGCTAAGTCTTTTTTCTAACCTGCAGTGTCTTCACTAATAGTTGCCTGATAACGGCTTCTAACAATGGCTATTCCTCTGCTTCCGGGTTCATTTCCTCTCTGAATGGCGGCTCCCTTCCATGTTTGCGGTCGTTACCTAGAAACGGGTCTGTCCGCCCTCTCACTCATGGAGCTGAGCCCTTCTCGAGGAGCCGCCAATTATGCAGCTACTCAAGAACTTCCCAGCATTTTATGGAACCCGAAGATTCATTACCGTGTTCACAAGAGCCTTCCAGCGGTCCCTATCCTGAACCAGATCAATCCAATCCATACCATCCCCCCTATCTCTCTGAAATCCATTTTGCTATTGTCCACCCACGTACGTCTTGGTCTTTCCAGTGGTCTCCTTCCTTCAGACCTTACCAGCAATATCCAATATGCATTTCTCCTCTCCCCAATTCGCGCTACATACCCTGCCCACCTCATCCTCCTTAACTTGTTTATTCTAATTATACTTGGAGAAGAGTACACGTTATGAAGCTCCTCATTATGCAGTTTTATCCAACCTCCTGTCACTTCATCTCTCTCCCGTCCAAATATTCTCAGCACCCTGTTCTCAAACACCCTCAGTCTATGCTCCTCACTTAATGTCAGATACAAAGTTTCGCACCCATACAGAACCACTGGCAAAATTATAGTTTTGTTGCCTGCTACAACATTTTAACGGCCCTTTCTCATATGAATATGTTATAAATAATGTCGAATGAGGGGATTGTTATGAATTTAGAAGATTAAGATAGTCATGACCTATTTTAAACTGATGTCCGGACAGTCTAATGAAAAACAGGAGAAACCTGCCTTGCGGCAAGGAATCGAATCTGCGACTTTCGAGTACGAATCTAAAATCCATGTCGTGCCAGCCGCCATCTTGCTGTCGTCATCATCTGAATTGTAACCATGTCGGATGTCATGACCGCTCGATTTACAGCGTACTGATATCCGGCGAAATGTAAACTTTCACTGTCACTAAACAGTTCTGGCTGTTGCTACAGCCTTTTTTTTTTCCGTTAATAATCGATCGAGTGTCGGACAACTGTACTCTAGAAGCACGCGACGCAATGGTAACAGATGCTGACTATTTTCATGCTTTGAGGTCTGGCTATTTTTGTGCTTTTGAGGTTAAAGCAGAGTGTCGCTTTGTTGTTGCTGTCGTCTGATATGAGAAGATATTTTAGTTTTGTAATATGTATATTTTATATTGATCGTTAATATCGACCTTTGTGTTGTGGTTACAAGCGGTAGGTCATGTTGGGTTATCCTTTCGGTTTTGACGTCACCGACTTGTCACAGAAACTTCCAGCTAGTCCGACCCAAAGTCATGCGCTCTTACTGAGGATGGAGTGCGAAGGTGGGCAGAGGGGAGGAAGTGTACTGCATTATATATTACGGTGTACATAGCAGAGAGGTGGAGCTGGGGCTAGGACCGGGGCTCGAGTCCTGTCTACACCCCTCACCCCCCACACCTTTCGATCCATTCACAGCCCCCAGCATAGCGTGCTGCCCTTCAGGCTTCATTTCTCTTCAGCCTGGCGAGAGAGACAGAAAGTCCATTGAGAAAAACTGGTCTCGGTCACCTTCTGTTTTCATTCATAAAATGTTCTCTCCAAAAAGCTGAAAGGGGCTGTTGTCCGCAAAGACAAATCTCCTTTACATGACAGATATAAATGGATTGCAGTGTTATATACACACACTGCATTCACGGTAGTAACTTACACAGTCATAGCCGATGCAGCTTTTTTGATGTTTCGCCATGAAAGATGGAAATGTGCTTATAAACCTTTCTGTTCGCCTGCCTGTCTGCCAGTGATGGCTGGAGAATACAAGTTCACGAAAAGGAGCAGAACAAGTAAAGCTGTCGCCATGAAGACGTAGGGGGGAGTGAAGGTGCAACTCCACCATTCTTGACCTCAATTTATGTTATGATTGTTATGTTTGTGATTGTTTTCAGTACCAAATACATCGCGTTCAAAATTACTAAAATCAGATTAGTAGCGTAACATAAGAAAAGTGCATATATTAGGCAGTCCGTTCCTCGGAGACATGGGTATCCACCTACAGGACAACACGGTGTCACAATCTGAACACTGGTCATCGTGAAAATCTTAAGCTTACGTGGTTTACTTCCCATTCTTGTGATAAACTATATGTAGCAGCAAACGTCTTAGGTAAACTGCTGCATATATCATGCAACCTAAATAAACCACATAAATAATGTAAACATGGATAATCCGGTAACCTCTTAACTGACACGAAATGAAACCGCTCTCTCTACAAGGACAAACACCGTATTCAGGCTCTACGAAAGTATGTGACGTCACACATCTTCTCTATAAAGATTACTTTTAAGATGTGATGCCGAGTAATCTGATAATGTTCACCGACGTTTCGGAGGAACGTACTGCCTCATCATGGTAGAGGACCTTGCGTCATCCGAAACGTCAGTAAATATCTACACGGCGCCGCATCCCAGGAGACAGTAATCTTGGTAGCAACCACCTGGCGCCGCCAAGTGATAAGTCATGTAAATGTCAGATACGAGCACAGCGCCGTGTGTACGTGTATTATGACTCTCGCAGTGGCCATCAGATAGAGAGGATATAGGGAAATGCGCGCAGCAGAAGGCTTTCCCAGATCTATATATGACAACAGACGTAGTCTTATAATTGTATGTACAGAGGGTTTCATTATTGCAAATTACTGAGGCACGAACGTCCCTGGTATTGTCATGTGGTGGAGCCATTGCGCGGAAGAGGCCTCTAGGATGGCTCCAACGTTGAATGCAGCGACACCCACTCAGAGGGCACATTATGAATGACTTCCGGTTTTTTTTTACACATCCCTTGAGACTGTCTGCTGTAAGTCACGATACGTAGTGGCTGCCCTTATCTTGTTATCAAATGGCATTGCAGAAACATGTCACTACATGAATGTCAAAGGATGATAAGTCTTTCCACACCACTTCACTGTATACAACATGCTATTAAAGAGTCTTGGATCCCAGGTTAGACTTGCAGGCATATACGGTAGTTTCGTTCTTGGAAAACTTGCAAATCAAATACTTTATATTCTACTTTCCTTATTTAAAAAAAGTAAAAAGTTTACGAGCTCAATCCCCCCTCCCCCCATTAACTTTGGAATGGCCGAACCAATCTGTATTAAACTTGGTATGTATATCATTTCATTTGAACCTTTCTCAATGACATTCTGTACCCCTGACTTCAGCTTCTGTGTATGTGTCCCATTGTTACTGTCAGCCCACGAACGGCTCTGCAAAAACCTTATCGCAAGAACTGATACGCGCAGCAATAGAACAATTGTTGGACTCGTCGTTTTTTATTCGGTCAGTGTCGTATCAAAGGAAAATGATCAAATCTTCCCAGAACTTCTTGTTTCCGTGTTAAGAATGTAGAAGTATACATTGCACAGGTAACGGACGTTTCAGCATCAGTCTTGATCTTGAATGTGTACTCTGCCTGCTAACGAGTATATTCGTAACGTAGTAGTTACACTGGATTAGAATGAATTACTGGAGTATCTTTTGTGCCCGCATTTGTAGCAAGTTGTTCACTGCGTACGCAAGAAAACATTTTAGTTGCTACAAATTATAAACACACTTTGTACATCAATATTTCACGTAGCCTGTGGTCGATTATAGTCCAGTGCTACGCCATGAAGACCTGTGCGGGGTGGATGTGGACCCCAGAACCAGTCTGGACGACTTGGAAAAGAGAAAATTCTCGCCCCCACCGGGACTTGAACCCCTGCCCACTCGGTCGTCCACCCCGTAGTCAGTCGCTATCCCGCCTCCTGTATAGATGTGTGTATATGGAAAATTGGCCTAATTTTGACACTGAAGATGGCACACTGATGCCAATTCCTGTCTGCCAGAATGAAACCACGCATACTGTGAACGCAACGAGAAAGCTTCTGTCACATTAAGTCGGTATAGCGTCCAAGTTCCGGACTGGATGATCGGGGATTCTATTCTCCACAGGAGCAGAGATTTTTCTCGTCTCTACTGTGTCTAGACCGGCTTCAGGGCCAACCCGGCTTCCTATCCAGTGTTCACAACAGACATGCATTATTCATAAACCTTTATACATGTCTTATTTGTCATGCATGTTTTGCAATTGGGTTGTTTCAGACAAACGCCATTTGCCAATGGGGCCTCAGACTCTCCTGCCGATATTCTTCAGAGGATTAGTGAAGGCAGGATCGATCTTGAGTCTGGAAACTGGGTTTCAGTGTCTGCAGAAGCTAAGGTAAGGCAGCATTTCAGGTTGGTATGTTAATTATATTTACTTTGAAAATTCTTCTTACATGCTTTCCATTTCATGCACAGTTCTTTAACACATGGCAACATTTATTTTATTCATGGGCAGGTGATGAAGGTTCCCAACGTTATGAATGATAAGAGTGCAGGTTATGTAGGTGTATGTTATTTGTACTAATCAAGTACCCATTCTTTGCGCGTTGCTTAAAGTGACTACATAGAAATCATGAAGTTGTGTATACTCATATACTCGTATGTTCATACTCCCATGTAAAAATAAAGTTGCTTAATCTTCTGTAATGTTTCTTTATACTTTAATATCTTAACTGAACCTTTTATGTTAGTGCACTGTTAGACACAGTTACAAAATTATTTGTTATAATCTGATTTGGAGTAAAAATGAAAGGAAGTGATATAACAGATATTTTATTATTTTTGCTTGTTAAATTTGTATTCTAAAAATGAAAGGATTGGATATCACACATCTTTTTTATTATTTAATGTTGTGGAGCTTCGTAGTGATTGCCTTAGGCATTAAATGGTTGTAAGCAGTGGAACAACAATGGATGTAGACTGATTGTTTCATGAGCTGTGAAATCT